TGCCATTGCTACTATGGGCAGATACAGTGCTGAGTCCTAGGACATTGGACATGGTTCTTAGCCAGATGAAGCTTAGAGTCTAGTAAAAAATGTGAAGAACTAATCATCCTCACAAAGAATGGGGAAACAGAACTGTGATGTGTGTTCCAAGTCAACAAGACTGTGATAATGACTTCCCAGGGATCTGTCTCAATAAGTGACCCCTGAGTTGAGTTCTAAAGGGGTTCACAAATAAAAATCGGATTTTTAAAAAGGGAGGGAAAGATATATTAAGCAGAAATAGCAGAATATACACAGGTTGTATAGAAAGAAGAGGTAGGATGTTTAAGTTAGACTGAAAGAAAGCTGCTAACACAAGTTAACCACATTTGAAAAAGTCAGGGCCTGCCTAAGGGCTGGACTCACATGCAGGCCTTTACCTTATGGGCAATGGAAGCCACTGAGTTATTACAGAGGTTAATGTGGCAGCCTGTCATGCTGAATGCCATCACAAGGTGACTCAGGTTTAATAAGGGGTAGAGTGTCACACAGAGAAAGGTAAAGTAGAGCATATGCATGGGTCTGAGTGATGCCTGGTCACTCTCCCAAGACATGAGGGGTGAGTGAGAAGCACTTGTCACATACTAGTCATGTACTTGTCACACACTCCTAGAAAGGGAAAATTATGCTTTATACCAGCTCTCAGCTGGCCCAATGACAAGGACAACTTGCCGTGGACTCAGAAGCCTGCTCACAGCAAGTGTTCATTCAGCAACAACAAATACTTGGGAATTAGCTCAAAGGATGAATTTCAGTGTGGATCTTGGAGGAAGCTTTGACTTTGGTCTCTAGAAAATCCTGGAATGTGAATGTAGTTCTGCATCTGATTGCATGAGTTTCAGTGCAAAGACCAGAGGCCTGCAAACCATGGGCATGAGAACCGCCTGAACCTGTGAGGTTCTCCACCCTCTTCTGTGGTCCTAGCCAACTTCTCCTCTGTCATGCTTCCAATGAATGAAGTATAAATTACCATATCGTGATAAGCAAGACATAGACACTCTCTGATCCTGAATTCCTTTGTGTTTGTTAGAAATGTAAGGCCCTTTCCAGGACTCAGACTCTGAGCAGCAGAATGATTCATTCAGCAAGCATTTGCTAACCTCCGCACTGGGCCAAATTCCATGACAAACATTAGGAGCAAGATAATGAATAGTATGTATCCCTTAGATATTTACCTAAAAGTGGGTGCTAACACAAAGCCAGTAGTTTAGAAGTAACATGGTGTTTGAGTGTGAACTCTATAACCATAAGAACTGGGTATAGTTTACCACTCTACACTTCCTTGACCAAATGGTGTCCCCATAAATAAAAAGCAGATCATGACATTAATGAGATTTTAAGAATTAAATAAGATGATATTACAGATGACATTTCCCTGTGCCTATGTCCTATTTATAAATGCTTTATTTATACATCTCAGCTCAAGGTGAATCTCCAGAGAGGATGCTCAAACCCATTCTCCAAGCTCCCAACATACCATCCCTTGCTACTTGCATCACAGTTTGATTCCTACATTTATTGTAGATGATTAGTGCTCAGCAAATTGTAATGAAGATCATCAATAAAAGATGATGATGATGATGATGACAATGATGATGGTGATGATGATAATTCTGACAGTGATGTTCAGCTCCCACATGTCTGTATTAGGTAGCTGTGGTTTGTTTCTATCCTGATCACCCAGTGCCCATGCCATTTGGGCTGTAAGATACTTGGAATTTTCATTTGTCATGAGTTTCCCAAGAGCTAGGACCAGCATGATACATTGATATATTCATAAGAAGAAATTTATTGTGGCAACTGGCCCACCTGACTATAGCAGGTGAAAAGTCTCACCACATGGCATCTTGAAGCTGAAGAACCAGGGATCCATTGGCATTATCTTAATCAAGGGCCAAAGTCTGAAGACCCATGGATATTTAAATGGTGTCTGTGGTATGAATCTGAGATGTCAAAGTCTAGGCCCTGGAACTAGGAGTTGTGATTTCCAAGGGCAGATAAAGATGGATGGTCTAGCCCAAGAAGAAAGAATTCACCCTTCCTCTGTCTCTTTATTCACTATGGACTCATAGCAGATACGAACACATGTTTGAAAGGGAAGATATCTTCTACTCAGTCTACTAATGTAAATGCTGATCTGTTCCAGAAACATCTTCACAGACATACTCAGAAACATTACCAGCTACTTGAACATCCCTCAGTCCCATCAAATTGACACATCAAATCAATAATTGCACATTAATTTACAATCACAATAAATCCTGGGTAAGAACACCATGGGAACAGAGACAGGCTTGAAAGTCAATGTCATTGGTGTCCTAGAAAAGACAGGGTAATTGATGACTGTGATGTAAAGAACAGTAAGCAAGGCCTCCTCTATCTCTACTACACCCCTCTTGGTGGCCAAAGGGATCTTTCAAAATTGCACTTGAATCAGTTTATTTTAACTCCAGCAACTTCCTGCTACAAAGACCCTCACCAAGGTGTGCAAAGTCCTGTGTGAGTCGGCCCCACCCTGAGCCACTCCTAACCATCTGCACTGCTTGTCACTGCCTCAGGTCCTTTGTGTCTGCTATGCTCTGTGTGACTGGCATGCCTCCTTCCAATCTCCCAAGGCCTTGTTCTTCTTCATCATCAGATCTCAGCTCATATATCTTCTCTGCAAAGAGCGTTTCACTAGCTACACTAACAGATATTGCCTACAATTCTATATGTACCCTATTCTTTCCATTGCTGTCTTTTTTTGTAAGTTAAAAATGAGAGCATAGGCCTGACGGAGCACTGCACAGGCTAAGGGTCCCCTAGCCCCTGCCTGTGGTTGCCTTTCTGACGGCAGACTAGCTGCAGTGTAACTATCTGTCGCCACTGGCAAAAAAATATAAGAAGTTAAAAAGCAAATTAGGAATGTCAAGAGCAGTGATAGTATGTGCACCTTCTGTGACATGTTCTGTGATTCAGGATGGTCAGATGCGTGGTACACTCTGAAAGGGCACTACTGGATTCCTGATGCTTAGTGATGCTCCCCTGGTTTGCAGCTCCAGTGGATCTCTAGCTGGAGAGCTTTTAACAAATACAGAACCTGTTTCCTTCCCAAAATCATCAGAACTGGAGTGGGGCAAGCAGGCTCAGGAGAGTTCCAAAGCACCAGGTGACCTAGATGCCCAGCAACACTGGCATACCACAGGAATAAATGTGGCTACTTGTTTTCAACTTCAAAGGAAAGTTTCCTTCTAGGTCATTGTCTTTCTTAACTTTGAAAGCTTCACACACACACACACACACACACACACACACACACACAAACACACCCTTTTATGCAATGTGGGATACTGGCAATAACGAATATTGTCTTGTACTTTCAGAGTCATAAGTCACTTTCCAGGCACTACCTTGTTAGATTCTCAATCAGTCAGTGCAGAGCACTAACACCATTACAGAAAGATCTATGATGCCTTTGCTGTGACAGTGTTGTAAGAGGCAAAACAATGAAAACACATGAAAGCCAGTGGGTGGCTCAGTGTGTTATGGAGTATTCATGCAGGGAGGAAGGAGGCTATTGCTCCTAGGAGGACTATGGGTAGATTTATAGGTGTTGAATTGAACGAAAAGGCAGTCAGAAATCAACTTAAGAATCATAATTGTAAATTATTCTATTTTATTATTTCTGTTGGTGTTGCTATTATTGTTTCTAAGACATGTCTAATCTCGTGTATCCCAAGTCAGCTTTTATCTCACTAAGTAACTGAGGATGACCTTGAACCCTGACCCTCTTGTCTCCACCCCCTAAGTGCTGGGATTTCAGGTGTGCACCACCAAAGCTCAGTTTATATGGTGCTGGACCTTGGAACCCAGAACAAGTAAGGGCACTACAAACTGAGCTGTGTCCACACCCCTCCATTGTTCATTTAAACTTTATTTGCATGTGTGCAGCTGTGTGCTTTATAATCAAAGAAACCCATCTGGGAGAATCTACACTGAACTGTTTATTTTCTATCAAGTGAACAAGGATTAGATAGAGATGAGGGAAATGGTGTTCACATCTACATTTTTAAATTTGTCATTACAAATATACTTTCATATTGCTATAAAAATATTGTTTAAAATAATAGCTATAAGGTACATCTTAAGAGAAACAATCACTTTCACTTTTTACAGTAAGTGATTAGGTCTCAGTGAGATGATTTAAAACTTAATCATATGGCTAAAAGTCTGCAATGTATTCAACAATGGGAGTTTAGAAGGTTAAAGTAATAGAGGGAAACACAATTCACCACAATCCAAATCTAGGGTAACTCTTGCTACTCCTCCACCTCCAATCCCCCCACCCCCGCCCCAGCCCCAGTGCTTGCTGCACAGAATTTGACAGGCACGCTGGTTCTGGTCAGGGAAAGGGGAAACAAAATTTTGCATAACCAAGTGAACCAGACAGGCTGGCGCATCATGAAACAGAGCTATCCGTTCTCTCTTCTGCAGAGCCAAGCAACCTGCACACTGCCAATCTCCCCGACATGGGGCTGGCTCAGCCCCCTGCTCACCCCAAGACTGCTAGGGAGATTTATTCACTGTCTGTGGCAGCTGTTGGTGCTGCTGGAAGAGGATGCCCACACCTAAAGGACTGTTCTATTTCCTAACTAGGAAAATTCACTTAACACACACTTTAGGGGAAATGTCCTGGGAGAGAGAAAGAACCAGATGGGCACTAATTTTATATAAAAGCACCGTTGCTACCAGAACATGTTTGCAAATGTGTGTAGGTAGTATGTTCATACAGTACATGCACACTCATCGTAAACATGTGGATTCTATTTACACCTCCCTCTGGAATTTCTTCAATTAAAAAATAGTCCTTCCAATTGTTCTTCAGTATGTTTGCAGTTCACCCTTGTGTCGAAGGATAAGCTGTGCCTCACAGTTCTTGATGCTGGACCGTTGTTCTTACTCTTGATTTTCCTTTCTGCCAGGTACAACTCATCCACTATAACCACGAGCTATACACAAATGTCACAGAAGCTGCGAAGAGTCCAAACGGATTGGTGGTAGTTTCTATATTTATAAAAGTAAGTCTTGCATTCTCTTGTTCTTCTTGCCATCCCCCATGAACAACCAGAATATCAGTCTACAGTCTCTGTTGGGATTAAAAAATATTTAAAGAAGTAATGTCAATTAACGTCCACGTCTAAAAGAGCTTTGGGATCTTAGGATTTTTATAACCATGCAATTCACGCAAGATTCAGGGCTACTCCAAGTAAGGTGAAGAAGTGATAGGTTCCATTCAGAGCTTCCAAACAGCCTGTAGGTTTGGGCAGCCTCTATCCTAAAGAGAAAGCTGGTGCTATTTGTAGGCACAGGCTTCAGGCCATACCTACTACAGCAGAACAAAGGTACAGTAGCAGGAGAAGAGGGGCTGGAGTGCTGATGGCCTCTAGGATTGAGAGACTGTCCATCACTTGCTGCCACCAGGAGAATAAGAGAAGGGTGAGATGTCCCTCCCTGGCGGGTCCTGTACTATAAACCTCCAGGCTTCCCCACAACAGCTGTAAAGTTCATCTTCCTTTCCCACTTGAATGCTGATTTATAATCCTGGCAGGTAGAATTAAGACCAAGTCCCCATGTTGACTGTGTGACCTTCAGCCATGCTCCCCTGATATTCAATAGGCAAGAACAGTGTGAAATGTCCAATTGAACAAATTCTCGTTGCTATTTTAATTATCTTTAATATTTTGGCAGATATAAAGTGATGCAAATGTGCAATTTTTTAATAAAAACATAAGATTTGTTTTCCAATTGTAAAATTTTTTTAAGTGAACTGTGTTAGTTACAAAGTACTACACTGTGCTAGTTGCTGGAGAGGTTTGTGCCCTAATCATTAGAGAAATTTGGACCTACCAGAACTTGGAATGCTATGAAGGGTTTCAGTAGAAATTTAGCAGTCACCACCAAGGAGATTTAACAGAGCTCTTGGAATAATGGGGTCCCTAGGGACCCCTTAGGCAATAGTTCCCTGCAAAGCAGACTCTACAACAGGTACTGGTCGTCTTCCCTGACGCCGTGCCTCCTGCTAACTTCCTCACCTTCATCTGAGCCAGGCCAAATTCATGAAGCTCATAATAGCCCAGCCAGGAAAGACACCTAAATCTTACCTTCATTAGTATATTCCCATCATGAACCTACTAAACAGATCTGGGAGAGGAACTAAGGATGAGTAGAGAGAAAACAACACTTAAGTGACCACACACTCTCTGCCGTATCACACTGGTACCTAAAAGCCTGAAGAAAATTCTTATTCTTGTCCCAGTTATGATACAGACAACCAACCCATGCAGTCAGCCTGGTCCACAAGCATTGTGAAACCTAACGGTATGTTACATACAGTCATGTTACCAGGAATCACCTCCCTCTGTGGTTGCCCACATGCCAAGCCTTCCACGAATAATATCCAGGGACCAACTTGCCTGTCCCAATCATTTGTGTCCCTTGAAGGGACACAAATGCATCTCAGTGTCAGTCCCTGACTTTGCCTCACTTTGCTCCAAGCTTCTAAGTCAGTGAATGCTATCCTGGAAGCTCAAGCATGTAACAGCTGACAATGACTGATGGAGTGACTGGCAGCCAACTTCCTCCATAGCAAACTTCCTCCTGCTGCTGTTTCACAAGCTCAAGCTGAAATTTGTACTACACTGAGGTCCTGACCAATAGGCAGGCTTGCAGTTCCTGGTTGCTCCCCCTGAAGTTTGGAAGGACCTACAATAAAGCCTTAGGCCATTAAGGGACAGTGGCCAGTTCCTGAATATTCTTAGGTCAGTTTGGCCCCTGAGGAATTTCCCATTCTTTCCTTGAGCAAACCTGAACCTTTCTGGCTCAGTCTCAAAATAAACCATAGCATTCCCTCTTTCTTCCACAAAGTCAACCCCCAGATTTCCAGTGAGCTAGCTGAGCTCTGACTTGTCATGCACTCATCAAAAAACTCCAACAGAGCATGGGGCAGAGACCCATCCTCTGCTAGACACTGGTACCCAGAAATGAGATGGAATCCTTAGTCCCTAAGGATGTGCAGCCTCTGATACTCCCCAGCCCTCCTTCTGATACCCCTGCCTCCTACTTCCAGTTCCCTGTAGGTAAGGCAAGAACACAAGATGAGAAATCCCCACATATGAGTGGTTCATCTGGAGAAATGTCACTCTGACCAAATCCTGAGCAACAGATGGCTAAGGGTTTAGTGGCAAACAGAGATGATGGCTCAGCAATTGAGGGTACATGTTGACAAGCCTGATAACCTGACTTCAATTCCTGGGACCTGGGTGGAAAGAGAACTGACTCCCATAAGTTGGCCTCTGAGCTCCACACATTCTTTGAGGCACAAGTGTGTGTGTGTGTGTGTGTGTGTATGTGTACACAATCAATCAGTCAATCACTCAATCAATAAGAGAGACTTGTTTCCCCTTCCCTCCCATGACCACAGAGAGCTGAGATTTGGCTATAATTGCTGTTCGATCACACACCATTAACTTCCCACTTAGCTTACTTATATCAAGTACATATTTTATCCTCTCGCCCACACTGCCAACACACTTGTGCCCACAAATCATCTGTGTGCACTTTGGAAATATTTCAATCATTTTTAATCAGCTCCAAAGGGGGCTGGTCTCAATAACAGTATTGTCCAGCTTGTCAGGAAGCCAAGGCACCCAGACACTTAGGCCCATTGCAGATTCCTATTCCACCAAACCCCTTCTTCATGGATCTCCTGCTGTCACAGAGTATATCAGGACAAACAGGATGAGGCTCTGAGCTGTCCTTTCAGTGCTTTAGAGGATGTCACAGCAGAAGCTGAACTTGGCACTGACATATCCAGGGAGCACAGCGTTCAACTTGGGACTTTGTCCCACTGGAGGTGGATTTTTGCCTCCGTCGAGCATCGCCATTCCCCAAGCACCAGCTCGTTGTGTGTCTCACTACAACACACCCAGGAAACCGTGTGAAAAGAAAGACAGATGGAGACAAAATAAACAGTCTGTGCTTTCTCCAAACTAAAGTTACCTGTTGCTTATCTAATAACGATGATCATCTGCTGTGATTTTTTTTCCAAACCTCAGAATAAATCAGATTTAAAATGTTGATGTGTCACAACATCCGATTAGCAGCTGAGGCGTAAATTGCAGAGCTGCGCTGAGCAAGGTTGGAGAGAAATGACTAAGATGAACAGTGGTACTGGGAAAAGGCTGAGTAAAAAGCGAGTTGTTAAGGAAGCTATGCATGATAAAAGGGCAATTCTCTTACCCCAGTCTTCTGATGCTTAGTCTCTTCTCCCAGAGGAAGAATCTGGATATGTAAGAGCATGAGTACAAGATGGAAACTCATCTCTAGCACAATGGTTAGCCCATTATAGGTACTTGATAAATATTTCTAGGGTAGACGAGTGGGTGAGTGGGTGGAAGATTGAATGTCGTGGTTTATAATATATTCATATGATAATGAGCAGTGGAATTACAAGGTTTTCTTTTTCCTCCCTCTTCTGGTACCCCTATTCTAGATACTCTTTCTACTTAGATGAATGCCTCTTTCCTGACATTTCATTCCATATTCCCTGCTCAGAACCCTTTGATGGTTCCCCATGCCTGAGGAATAAAGTTTAAATGAATCCCATTGTGACATTCAAAGCCTAACATGGGCTATCCTCCCATCCCAATGCCTTTAGTTCCAACTACGCAAGGTGTTTGTATGAGCATCTGCCTATCATGAATGGATCCTCAGCATGGATGCTTTTCCTGCCCTCCTTGCCTTCCAGTCTTTTCTGTATTCTGACATTAAAATACTTGAGTGTCCATCCATCCATCCATCCTTCCAAACCAATTCAGACCCTAGTATTACGTGACTCAAGAGACAATCTGTAATCCGTAAGGTAGAGATATCTTTATTGAGATAAATACCAGCCAAACGCAAGCCAGAGCGTGCCCAGGGCAGCTGAGCAGTGAGACCAGGGAAAAGGGGCAGGAGAAGGGTCTTCCATCTGCTCTGCAGGCCCTTAAGAGCCCATGCTGCATCATCCTGACCTCACCTTGACCAAGTCAGGAACACCTGTAGCCAGCCTCTAACAGGCGTGGCTTACTGTCCCCTACACCCTAGCTCCCCTGATTCCCAGACAGTAGGTGGACTCTATCAGAACATTCCCTAATCCACACGAGGATGATTTGTTTACCTACCTCTCTTCCTTCTTGAGATGAGGTGTCTATACAGAATAGAGTGTGTGTTTCTCTGAATTTCCAACCATCATAGATTTGGACCCATAGTAAGCCATCAATGTGAAGGAATGAAATAATGTATGGAGATGCTTGCTCTGGGAGAGTGACTGACACACAGTCATTAATACTTTCTCTTCCCCTATAGGTTTCTGATTCATCAAACCCATTTCTTAATCGAATGCTCAACAGAGATACTATCACAAGAATAACATATAAAAGTAAGTTTGGTTCGATTTCTTTTACAGCAACAATTCTACAAAGGTTAGTCCTGTCGGAAGGCAGGAAGCCAGAACTGATGATCTCTATGGGCCCTTTCTGCCTCACGATCCTTTAATTCTGTAGAAAGTCACTCTGGAGAGTCAGGGTTGGCTAAGAAGCAGCCCATTCCAAACTCAAGTCCCCAGAGTACCTTTGTCATCCACGCCTGTCTAAGGCAATAACGATTATGATGATGTGGTCATCGTTATCCTGTGGATTGGTAATGAGCTCGGGGATTCTACCGGCTGACTGACTCCACCATGTCAGCTGTCTGTGTAGCTTGGGCTTTGCCAACTTTGTGATGAAAAAAGAAAAAACCACCCACCAGGTACTTTGGACCCAAAATGAACCTTTTCAGAACCACACCTGACCCAAGTCTTATCTCCTTCCAGAAGGGGGCTGGGCAGACATCTCCATTCATTTGCCACACCTCATGGATCTGTAGGGTTCTGCCAGCCTCCCAAGCATTTAGATTACTTCATTCTAAACTTCTTAATCAGAAAAGAAGAAAGTGTGTCGAGGTGAAGGGGGAAGAAAAGAGAAGGTAAACCTCTAAAGGTTGCAGGCCTTGGGGAAACCGTGTGAGGTGGAACATACCAAGAGATGAAAAGTCAAAATGGAGAAACAGAAGGGACATAGAGACATGAATGGGCAGGAAACTTGAATTCAAGTCTCGGCTTTGACCTCTGCCAAGGAGGCCCCTCGCTTTAATGCTGCTCCTTCATTCATAAAGTGAAAAAGTTCAACTCTGGGTTTTTGAAATCTTAAAGGTCCAGATAGACAATGATTTCCAACAATAGAAAAAAGAACATGTGGACATTGTAATTCTCACATCTCCCTGCAGAGTGCTTGCTTCCCTTGCTTAGCTGTACCTGCTGCTTCTGTCTCCAGTGTCATGAGGAAGAGACAGTGGGAGGACAGTACAGAGAGCAATGGCCTCTACCGCTGGCTGTTTCTCCCAACCCACATCTTCCGTAGGATGTAAAGATGGCTGAGACACTGGGCCTCCCCACAAGGGGTCACCATCAGGTCACTCCTATATAAAGAGGTTGAGGAGCGGATGGGATGACACACTGCTGACCCTGAGATCACTCCAGCTCAACACACATCACCTTCAAGACTGACTTAAATCCTCTCCACACACAGCCGTGCCCTGCTCATCAGTATTCTTGTGGAGTTCTCCCTAAGCACACGCTTAGATTGCTCAGCTAAGGGAGATATTTCTGTCTTGTGTGTAAATAGCACATTTATAACTGCCTATAAAAGATTATTATTCTTTTAACTTTTTTGATTAAAAAAGCATGAAAATTAAATAAAATGTTTTCAAATAATCTTGAATTTGCAGTTTAGAGACCGTGAAAAGCCATGAAATTGCACATTAAGCCCCAACACACAATCTGTCTGATTTCCACTAGCACAGGGGATCATTAGGGGGTCCTTTGCTCCCCTCCCCTCCCCCTACCCCAGTCTGATTAATATGAAGTGAAGTGGTTACTGGCATAGAAGGAAAAGCAGAGGAAGGGAAGAGAGAGGAGGGAGAAAAGATCGGAGGCAAGCTGGAAAGAGGGAGCCGAAGCATTCCGGGCAGAGTGGCAGCATTGCAAAATTTGCTGAACATCGAAGGGACTCGGGGGAGTTCAGAGAGGGGGACCTGTTCCTATCAATGTGTCATCTCAGTTAGTGGAGGAATGAACAGTCTCCTTCAGTCATAGTAACAGGTGGCAGGGTGAGGAGGGGCAGAAAAAGTATTCGAGGACCAAGTCTCTGTGTCATAGAGAGCTTATAGTGTCTCCACCACTGAAGCAGAAACACAGAAAGAGAAAATAGATGTACTTTCTCCTCTATCTGCCGCCCCTCACACTCAACACCTGCCAGGGCCACAAAAGAAAGGAGGTTTAAGCAGGACACCCGGGCCTTCATGCAGAGACAGGATAATGGGTCCTCTAATAGCAGATGTTCTATGGGAGGTATCCCCCATAGTGACCTGTGTCACACACCTGAAAGGAATTTCACCCCAGGGATAATGATGGCTTGATACACAGAATTGGCCCAGACACCACCATGCCCAGGACATTGGCAGAAAGGGATTGATTTGCTCAGCAGGAAACCACAGCTCTCTTCCCTCCAGTTCAATTTCCTACAGCCTCCAGCAGGGGAAGGTTGACCCTGTGGCAGGTAGGGAGTCTGAAGCGAAGCATCCTCAAGCATACAACCTAGACATCTCTCTACACCCAGAGCCTCTGTAAGAGGTAGCAGGTTACACTGGCATGAGCCCACAAACTCAAGTCAGGAGGAGGAGGATGCTACCTGCTTGGGGTACCTTTTATAGTATCCTGCTTTCACACTCTTAAATGAGACAGGGAGAAGTCACACACACACACACACACACACACACACACACACACACAGTCTTAGGGTTACTACTGCTGTGATGAAACACCATGAGCAGAACAACTAGGAGAGGAAAGGGGTTTTTTTCGGCATACACTTCGGTATCACTGTTCATCATCAAAGGAACTCAAGACAGGAACTCAAAAAGGGCAAGCACCTGGAGGCAGGAGCTGATGCAGCAGCCATGGAGGAGTGCTGCAGACTGGCTTGCTCATAATGGCTTGCTCAGCCTGCTTTCTTAAAGAACCCAGGACTGCCAGCACAAGTACCGCCCACAGTGGTCCCTCCTGCATCAAGCACTAATTAAGAAAATGCCCTACAGCTAGATCTCTTTTTTTCTTTTCTTTTTTGGTTTTTTGAGACAGGGTTTCTCTGTATTGTTTTGGAGCCTGTCCTGGAACTTGCTCTATAGACCAGGCTGGCCTCGAACTCACAGAGATCCACCGGCCTCTGCCTCCCATGTGCTGGGATTAAAGGCGTGAACCACCAACGCCCGACTACAGCTAGATCTTTTGGAAGCATTTTTCCAACTGAGGTTCCCTCTTTTCAGATAACTCTAGTTTGTGTCAAATTAACATAAAACTATCCAATAAACCCTCATACTCTACTATTTCAACCACACTACACAGAACACCCAAACACATCCCTTCCCTGATCTCTCAACCATCCATTCCACAGCAGAGTTCCAACCTGCCTCGCTCACTTAAATAGAGTATCCACTCTGCAGTGTAGTTAGCATAAGAAATTTAGAGGCAATTTGGAATGGGTACTCTGCACACCCCAGGGTCAGTATTGTGCATGTAGCACTTACCTTGTGCTCACACAAACCTTATAAATGGGTATATTTGCTCTCCCCAGTTCAGAGATGAGACCAAGGATGCACATCTAGTAGGTGGCTGTATAGCCAGTGACTTCTATATAATCAACAAGCACTTAGCAGTGAGCATTTAACATCTTCTCTCATTGTTATGTGGGAAGGTTTAGTCAACATGTCTCTGCCTTCAGGCAGAGGTCCCCAGGTCAGCTAAGGAACAGGGGTCCACATGGCTCTCATCTTTCCAGCATCAGAGGAACATCCAGCAAGTATCATTGCCATCAACCCATGAATTCATGTGATTCTATCTAAGGCTTGGTCTTTAAATATGTTCACACTACTGCTTAATTTCCACTCCCAGCACCTGTCACATGACCAAGACGTTCAACGTTACCATCCTCCCACAGAGGTGAGGATGGTGAAAGAAGGAACTTCCTGAACTACAAACCCATTCTTCTATACACATGGGTCCTCCTGGGAGTGGTTCCTATGTCATTTCCTTTCTCCCATGCTTCCTTCCTATGGAGCAAGGAAAAGCAAACTCTGATGTCTTGAAACTAATTATAAAGTCTGGTATTTTGAAATAGCACAAAACCTTTCAGCATACTTTTCTCCTAATTGCAGCTTGGATTCGGGCTGATGAGCAATCATATTGCTCAGTACATTGCTTCTTACATTTGCTTCCACTTCAACTAACCACGGAACTAACAAGTGACACTTGGCCAGCTCAGGCTGATCCTAGACAAGCTGTGTCCAACTCCTACATACATGTTACTTTACACAGGGACCCCCTGTGGAAATCAGTATCCTTCAGAGGACACTGTCACACTCCCATGGTTGGCATATCTAGTAACAGAGATGGCACCACAGACTGGATGCTAGTCCAAGCCTTCAAGCATAGTGACATCATCTTCTGTCCAAAGGAGCACTCTAGGGCAGGTAGATGGTTCATGTGTAGGAGCACTTGCTGAGCAAGCATGAGACTGAATCCTCCACATCCACAAAAACAGCCAGGCATGCCTGCATTTGCAACTATAAGCCCATCATCAGGAGGGACAGAGACAGGAGAATCACTGAAGTCTGCTGGCTGCCAGCCTAGCTCTGAGTTCAGTGGCAGACCCTGCCTGAAGGGAATAAGGCAGAGAGTAATAAAGCAAGACAGACACTCAGTGTCTTCCTCTGATCCCCTTGTGCATGCTCATGAGCAAGCACACCTGCAAAGACAACACACACACACACACACACACACACACACATACACACCCCATAGACATATACCATACACATAGAAAAAAGGTGTAGTGTGATTACTTGACTAAAAATAGGCTAGAGAAAGGCTGGAGAGATGGCTCAGTGGCTAAGAATACTTGGCCCTCCTGCAGAAGACCCTGGTTCAATTCTCAGAGCCCACATGGTAACTCTCAGCCATTCATAACTCCAACTCCAGAGGCTCCTACCCCATCGACCAAGTCGATGGGGAGAAGGTGGTGATAAGTGATTGGATATATTGTAAAGGGGCAGGAGATTTCTTGGTAAACCAGATGTTTGATGTGTAAGAGAAAAATGGAAGCAAGGATTCCCATGAAATTTTTAGTCCAAGTCACTGGAAGGAAGATATTTCTATCCGCTGGGAAGGGGAAGACTCAGACGAAGCATTCTGTGGGTAGGAGAGGGATCACAGATCCTGAACAAGTCGTGCTTGGGATTTCCATTAAGCATGCAAAGGAGGAGTGCTGTAGGCAGTTGGATATATGA